TGTCTCTTAACCTTTTCTGCTTTTCTTGTGACCTAGATATGTGAACTTTTGTTCCCACCACATTCACTGAGTGAGAAGGAAATGTGAATACATTTGAGTAGAAGCCTGTCAACATTATACAGGGAAAAGTGGTACAAGGGTATTCTTGCCACACACAAAAAAAGCAACGCCTCAGCCTAACAGAGTTATCAAGATGTGCAGTTCGTGACAGGATTTGCAGCTCACCATGGTCCAATTCCCAAGAGCTCTGTCCATTTCTTAAAACGGGGCTCTAGCTGAGATTTCTTTGGTGTTACTAAAAGTGGCTCCCTCTATGGAGTCAAAGGTTGAATTATGCATTTATCCTGAGCCTCTTCAATCACATTTGGAGTATTTTCTTAAGTGTCATGATGCCCTCTGCTTTCTCTTTCTTTCAGTATGATGCAGTTAATTAAGCAGGTGTTAATAAGCTTAGACATTTTGGGTGGAAAGTGAATGTGAGCAACACAGGTCCTCTCTAAAAGGTTGAATCCGTGTGAACTCTGTTTAGGGAGGTGTTTTTCCCTCTTCCGCATTTCTTAACTCAACAGGGCATTGCTAGCTATTTTTGTCCTTTAGAAAAACAACAGCAGTGTGATGTACAATAGCAGACTTCTAACCAATATTTCATTGTGTCGTACAGGGACCGCGCAAGCTGTGTGTTAAGGAGATGAACAGTGGCATGGCTAAAAAACAGGCCTGGCTTATAAAGAACAAAATCAAGGCTTTCTATGCCGCAGTGGCAGCAGACTGCTTCAGAGATGGTGTCCGAAGTCTCCTTCAGGTAAGGCTAGCACTGAGGGAATGAGCACAGAGACAAAAGATAATTAGCATTCCATGTTAATGAAGCTCCTGAAGCAAATGGCTGCAGTCAGGCAGCCCAGCATCAGAGATTAATGCAGATGGGTAAGGAATTCATTCTGAGTTCCTGGGGATAGACAAAGCTAGAACAAAAGCCGAGAGGTTCTACAGTGAACTAGGAAAGATACACTGGAAACAGAAACCGAGGTTGCCTTTGGCCACCGGCACACATTCTATCCCCATACTTATTGAAATGTAAATTTGTTCTGGTGGTTGACGACATTCAGGATCCTATTAAAACTTCAAACTATTTTTGCATCTCATACTGCATATTGCAGTGCTCAAGTCAGGCATTCTTTTCTTTTTCTTTTTTGCAAATGGTGTGAGGGCAGCTGCTAGACTCAACTAAATAAATGCATGGTGATCAGGGTGGAAAATCTCCCTATCCACCTGAATTATTTCCAGAATATTGAATAAAATGTAATAATCTCTATAGCGCAACATAAAAGCCCACAGTTATCCACATTTTCCCCCTCTCTCTTCCCTTTTCCATCTCCTTCTTTACCTCTTCCATAGTAAGTACATAAAATCTTTCCATAGTTCCCATCTCTGCAGTGTAGAGTGCAAAAAAAAAAAAAATCCTAAAAACAATCCAAGAGACTCTCAGAAGTGTAGGGCTTGGCTTTCTAAACGTTTTGACTGTAATACAATTGAAAAACCCCACAGTATGGATACCAAATGGAGTGTTTGACTTTCAGAGTTGCCAGTTAGGAGTGTCAGAATTCAAGAATGCATCCAGGTTACTCTGATGCTTATGTGGGCAAGGAAAAAGAAAATACTTGTTAAGCAATAATATTTTGGAGATTAAGGGCATTTGATGCATTTCTGACTCCAATGCACTCAAAGAGCAATTGTAAAGTAGCTGTACATGCAGAGAAGTCATTTCTAAAAGGCCTGTTATCCACAATAAGCTTCTTTTCGTCTGTTATTAATTTGCTAAAGCATGGAAATAGGTGTTGTTGCAAAATGCTGATTTTTCTTTCAGTAATGAATTACTTTGCAGTAGCTCTTGGCTAAATATATTGAGAAGGTTATACATTTAATATAAAGTAACGACAGAATATTTGTAAAATGATAAAAACTTTCTACCAGGAATGGGACTACAAGCAGTATAGAATAAGAGCAGGGAGACAAAAGACATAGGCATGGAAAAGGATTCTTAGATTAGTCCAGAATGAATGATAAAAAATCTGAGCATGCATAAATTCACATGAATTTCTTTAAATCAAGGTGGAGTACAGAGGGGTCATGCCAAAAGGGCAAGACTGAGTGGCACTGAAGTTAAACACTGCCAATTACAACATTTTGAATAAAGTTTTCTTTGTATCTAAGAAGTTACAGTGCAGATGACCATATCCCCAGACTGTAGCTATGGAAAAGACAATATCCATACTGCTGTATATGTGCCAAGGGCCAAAACAAATGGCTCCAAGGAACTCTTGGGCTATCTGTGCATTTCAAAGAGCAGTATACCAAATGCATTGGAGGCAAAGCTTGATTCAGGGACCCTCCCTTAGTACCCATCTTTTTCCTTTTACTACTATCTCTTTAAAAATGTCCAACTCTAGTCATTTCTCTAACTCTTCCCACGTACCAGAATGGCCTTCTTTACTCCTACTGCTGTCCTTATCTTTACTGGTCAACATCTAACCAAACTCCAAGACTCAAAGCAAATGCCACTTCTTCCATGAATCTGCCTGTGCATCGTTGGTTGGAATTCAAGTTTTCTTCCTTTGGCTTCCTTAGCAGTCCCTTCTACATTTATACTTATATTACAATTATTTGTGCATATCTTGTCTCCTCCACCTTATTCTAAGTTCCTTAATGCCAATGAAGATATTGCACTATTCTCTCACAGCACCTAACATACCACTCTGCAATTAATAGACACTTGATAATATTGCCAAATTAAATCTGATTAACTGGGAGCCATATCCTGTCATCTAATGGGGGGGAAATGAAATATCTAATGTGGAATGTAACTACTAATGATATCATCATGCAAGAGGATTAGATTTTGGAAACAAAGTTCAGTCATTCTTCAATAAATAATATGAGAAGTTTCAGTGATCTTTGTATATAAGAATTTCCCAAACATGAATTTTATTGCTAATGACATTATGGATATAACAGGTGGAAATGAGCTTTGAACCACTAAGTTATAACATGCATACCAACAGTTAAACTGGCCCTTACTTGATTTTAAATTATTGAACGATTTTAATGAGTGTGTCAGAAGAAATGCAAATGACTGCTAATTTAGAAAAGCTACATTTCTGTCATCTAAAATCCATTTATGGCTGAGATGATTTAGAACTAATCTTTCTATTTTATGCTTGGGTACGGGCATGAAGGACATGCACTAAAATGTAATCTAATCTTCAGAATCTTCAGAACATTACTTCAGTGCTCTTTGGACATTATTTTTCATTTGTAGTGGTAGTTTCCTGGTGCAGTAGGATTGCCCATGTGTTTATGTCCTCTGTTTAGGCCTCAGGCTTAGGAAGAATGAAGCCAAACACTCTGGTGATTGGATATAAAAAAAACTGGAGGAAAGCTCCCTTGGCAGAGATTGAGAACTACGTGGGAATCATACAGTAAGTGATGGCTTTCAGGAAGAGTTCTTGTTTATAATGCACTAACCAGGGTAGTACATAACCTGTACTGCACAGAACACTGTTTGTGCCAGATTAAATTGTCTGAAAAGAGCACTTGCTCCTGGTCCTTTCAATTATTTACCAAAGTTAAAAACAAAAACACCACCAATAAGAACTGGAGAGACTCAGAATGTCCCAGGAGGCTGGAGGGAGAAGGGTAACGTGTGTCAAAGAAAAAGGTAACTGTTTAGAGCTACAACCTTAAAGTCTATTTACAAGATTAAAAGCAAAAGACAGTGAGAAAAGGAAGAAATTTTTCCTTCAGAACACCTGGAATCTGGGATTGGCTGTTGAACTCATTTCAGACATCATGTTCTACGCTTTGTATAATGTGTTCACTATCTCAGAGCCCCAGATCTCTCTCTCTCTGTTGATAGAGAAATCACATATACCAGGTGCTTCTGCTACCAGGTAGCAGCATTGCTTTATGTAAGGAATGTGAGTTTTAAATGGTTTGTGACAACTAATAGCCAAACATTTCAAGAATCTTGGGAGAAAAATAATGATAGACCTGAAAAGACAAGCAAGCTCCAGGCTGACATCTTTAACTTGGACTTTCTTATTTAATTCTCCTAAGAAAACTTTGAAATAAGTACTATTCTTGTTCCCATTATATAAGGAAAGATACTGTAAAAATTAAGTAATATGGTGGGGAAAAAAAATCACAGTTTAGTAATTAACCAAGGTGAGCTTCCAAACCAGAATCATACAAACTTAAAGTTCAAACACAATGACTCAATGCTATGTAGCCTCCAGAAGTTCATGGACATCCACATAGTACCTGGCTTGGTTTCTTCTTTTGAGTAAGAGAAACAAAGGCCACAAATACAGAGAGATGCACTCTAGAAAACTGAACCTTTACTCTAGGCATGAAAATACATAATCAGACAAGAGGGGCAATGTGAGAGATGCCTACCAGCCATCTTTTGCGTCAACAATAACAGTGGAAGGTTTCCTGTGTCTGGGATCAGGACAGGCTCTGACTTCATACCTAAGAGGTACAGCTGCACCTAGACATCCACTCCACACGAGGCAGAAATCCTCACCCCTTCAAAAATAGCATGTAATGAGCTCTGCATTTTGTCATCATTTCAGGCAAATTTATAACAAAAGCATTCTGAGTTCTATTGAAAAGAATCATAGGAAACTAGCTTTCATCTTCTGAAATTATATGCATTACTGACCAAACAAATTCACTCAACAGTCTTTCTAATGTAAGGCACCTATATATTAAATACATTGTATGCCAACATATACAGCCTGTAATTCATAGGCTGCCTTCTGGCTCCTGCTGGTACTCTTAAATTCAGTAGGTAATGGCTAATCCAGGAGTTTGGGATCAGAATTTCTCCAGAATCAGCAAGCAGAATTTTTAAATTTTTTTTTAGTTATAGATAGACACAATACCTTTATTTTATTTATTTATTCTTATGTGGCGCTGAGGATCGAACACAGTGCCTCACATGTGCTAGGCAAGCACTCTACCACTGAGTTACAGCCTCAGCCCAGCAAACAGAATTTTGATATATTTAGAATCACAATCAGTCACCTGTGGAACATTTTTGCAAATGGATTGGATCTGCCCTTTGATTATCCAGATTCCTCAGTGAAATTTCATATATACCTGAGAGAACAAAAGGGATAGAGAGAACAAAAAAGCAAATAAGAAGAAATGTGTGTATTCAAGGAGTTCATTATTTGACGCAAAATTATTTGAGATTGTCTTCCAACTTCCCTGCCATCCCAAACATTCTAAGACACCAAAGGGACCAAAACGCAGTTGACCTACTGAACCCATATCACTGAACCAAGGAGGCTTCTGGCTTTTACAACAAATTAGTAATTAGTCTTCTTGGTAATAAAATTCAATATTAAGGTAGTTCACATCTGTACTAGTGTAAACCTGCCTGTGTTGGTAAAGTTAAAGGACTTCACTAACACAGCATTGGGGTTAACATACAAGGAGGACAATCATGCATTTCTGTATTGCATTTCCTATTCTGATTTTTTGGTTGATTAAAGTATAGTATAGTGTTATTGTTAACACCAGGCTACTGTTACATGGGTGTGGTATTTTTATCATTTTTCTTTGAATAAAAGATTTTAAGTGTCTATATAAACATTCTTAAGTATGGGTTAATTTTAATTAGAATCTCTTTTAGTTTTTAGGTCACCTTAACAAATTAACTCAACTTCATCAGCTTAATACCACACAGTTTTTGGCCTCGTGTACCAAAATCAAAGTGTGGACAGGGCTCTGTTCCCTTCAGGAGGCTCTAGAACAAATTCTTTTCCTTGGCTTCTCAGCTCTAAGGGTTGTCCACCTGAAGGGGTGGTTCATGGTCTCCTTCTTCAATCTGCAAACTCAGCAATGACTGTTAAATCCCGGTTGCATCTCATTATTCTTACCTCCACTTCTGCCTCCTAATTTCATTTTTAACTACGCTTGTTACCATAGTTGGCTCACCCAGGTAATTGATGATAATCTCTCCAGCCAAAGTCCTTAATCTAATCACATCTGCCAAGTCCTTTTTGACATGTAAGGAATAGATTTAAAGATTCCAGGGATTAAAACATCCTTGGGGGAGGGGACATTATTCTGTCTAACACAGAATCCAAAGATATTTTGTGAGGCACATTGTCTTTTTTTTTTTTAATAATCAAGCATGGTTAGAACCAAGATTTGTTTGTGTGGAATTCACTTTGTGGCAAATTGTGTTAGAATTAACCTGTTTTGTTAAATGAATATCATCTATAGTTTAAAATTTGATTGGATACTTATATTGCCTTGAACTTATTTGTAACATTGTCTGAATATTTAGGTTGACTTTGTTTATTGGAAACCTGTTTGCATATGGTGAGACAATCACAAGCTGCATTGTTTCTGAGAGAAGGTTGCCAATGGTAAAAGATTCTGGGTTTCAGCTCAATAGAAGATTGAACAAGGAAACTCCCACAGAAAAAAATTTTAGATGACTCAAATGATTAATTGACTTCTTCCATATTTTCAACCAGTGGAAACATATGCTACAAGAACAGAGATAAAGGAAGGAGCCTTCAGTTCTCTTCCAGATGGTCTAGTCTCACTGGGTTGGATATAGAGAAGGCACAAAAACCATCTTCAACTGTCTCAGATTGCCGTGAAAAGTATTGCTTCAAATGACTTGTCCAGAGTCAATGGAAAAAAGTTCCTTGGAGGAACTGGAGAGATTTTTACCTATGAACTTGGTGCCAGAAATGTAATCCTCATGAAAGGGAGGGAGGCTAAGAATTTCAAAGGTTCTTTGCAACCAGTAAACACTCTGTTCTAAATATATCAGTGATTGTTTTGCTCACTTTATAAAAGATTTAGTTATATTAAAAGTATGTGACAGACTCTTATGCAAAATTCTAGTTACTAATACTATTTGAGTTGGTTGCAGAGTTAATGATTTGGTTACCTGTACCCAGAATGTATTTTTTAAAAGTAGAAGAGGAGAATAAACAAAGAGAAGAAGCATCAGCTTTTGGCTGAATTCTAAAGTGAATTTTGATGGTTTCATGATATCAAAATCCTAGAAGCAAGGGATTGTTTTTGTTTGTTTGGTACCAGGAATTGAGTTCAGGGGCACTTAACCATGGAGCCACACCCTCAGCCCTTGTTTATTTTTTGAGACAAGGTCTCGCTGAGTTGCTGAGACTGGCTTTGAACTTGCAATCCTCCTGCCACACCCTCCCAAGCCCCTGAGATTACCTGCAGTTACCGTGAACTACCCCACCAGCTAAAATGCAAGTTTAATAATATTCCAAAGCTTGAATATTAGAGGAGCCATTTAAAACACTAACAACTTTGCTTCTTCTTTCAGTGATGCCTTTGACTTTGAGATTGGCGTGGTCATAGTCAGAATCAGCCAAGGGTTTGACATCTCTCAGGTTCTTCAGGTGCAAGGTATGTACCTACCTTCTTTATTCAATCAACAAATATTTAGTAAACACCTACTATGCGCCTGACATTGTTCTAGGTGGTGGGGAAAGAACAGTACACAATATGGACAAAATCCCAGACTTCAATTCTGGGCTGATTCATGTGAGCACACTTCCCCAGTGTTTTTCCCACTTTTAACACAAGTGGCCTTTGCCCTGTTAATCATAAATGTAGGATAATTTAGGGTAGTCATCAATTTTTTTTAATCACAAAACCACAAAGCCAGCATCAAGGAAAATAGCACCTTCAGTAAAATAGCCTGCCAAATTAATTTCTGCAAGATGTTTTAGAAAATGAAGATTAATTCCTTCCTCAGAAAAACATATATTTTCCTTTTAAGAGTCTATGAACTGGTGTGTAGCTAACATGGAAATGAGTCTGAATGTATCATGCTGTGAATCACTAATCTAAGTCAGAGGCAGAAACACTAATTCAGATTAGTGACTATTTTTTCCCTGTAGAGAATTTGGTATACTTGTTTAGTCTCAGATTTTAAACATACCCTCTTTGTGTTTGAAATAAAGAACATATTCAAAGAATTACTAAAAAATTAGGACAGATCATGAATTCATCTCTTTAACTGAACTTTAAAATAGAGCCCACTGATGATATGACACAAAGATATGAGGATATTTTGGGGTATGTATTATGTGGTAGGCATACTGTAGGTGAAGATGCTGGGTAGATTAATAACTTGGTCTGTACCCCCAGGAGACTCACATCCTAGTAAGGGTAATGGATAATAGGTATAAATAAAGCATTAAGGAGGGTGGGAGTTAACCCCTGAAAGGCTGAAAGGAGGATGTTTGATTTGAGAATTACAGGTTGAGTCAGAGATAATTAGGCAATGTTGAGGGAGAGAAAAACAAAGAGAGGGTTTGGGAACAGCATTCTCGGCAAATAGGAGAGCATCAGTAAAGGTTAGACATGAGAGTACGGCAGAATGGGATACATGGGCAACCAGAGACAGATTCGTGTTACTGAAGTGAAAAGCATATGAAGTAGACAATAATGAAATATGAGGCTGCCCCCCATAAAGAGGATCCAGACTTTAAAAGCTTCATTTGTCATCTTAAAAAATGTGGGCCATATTCCGTAGATAATGAGGACTATCAAAGAGATTTAAGGGAGGGAGTAATATGGTCCAACATGGGTTAGAGTTCATAGTCTTTCAGTTATATGGCACATGATTCAAAGAGGATTAGAACAGAAACAGAGAGACATATAAAAATGATTTCTGCAATAATCAAAGTGAGAGAATGTTTTAGTCAGCTCTTTTGCTGCTATGACTAAAAGACCCACCAGAACAATTGTAGAGGAGAAAAAGTTTATTTGAGGGCTCACAGTTTCAGAGGTCTCAGTCCATAGAAAGTCAACTCAATTCCTCAGGGCTCTATGTGAGGCAGAAAAACCTGGCAGAAGAAATGGTGGAGGGACGCCGCTCACATGATGATCAGAGAGCAGAGGAAGAGATCTCCATTTTCCAAATACAAATATATAGCCCAAAGCCATGCTCCCATTAACCCACCTCCTCCAGCCACACCACACCTACCTCCAGTCACCACTCAGTTAATCCCATCAGGGGATTAATTCACTGATTGGGTTAAGGCTCTCGTACTCCAATCATTTATTTTCTGAACTTTCTTGCATTGTTTCACACGTGAACTTTTGGAGGAGAACTCACATCCAGACCAAGGCAACAGCTTGAACTACAGATGCCTCCATAGAGATGGAGAGAAAAGGACAAAATTGAGAAATATTTCAGAGTTAAGAAGAGCAACATGAGGAATTGATTGGATGTGTAGGAAACAGGAAAGGGAGGAGGGAAGAAAAAGTCCTTGGCTGAGTGAGTGAGTGGTGGGAGTACGGATAGAGATGGGGAACATAAGAGGAAAAGCAAGGTTAATGAGATACCTGGTGCAATTTCAGACAGTATCCTATGGGAAAACCTGCTGCAAGTGTCCACTGGGCAGTTAATAGTCCCAGTCTCAAAGAAATAAACTGAGTCTAAAATGCAGATTCAAATGTTACTGACTAAATTGTGACCCAGGCCCAGCCCCCTTCCACCAAATTCATGTAGAAGTTCTAACCGTAGTACCTCAGGATGTGACTCTAATATTTAGAGATGGGGTTTTTTAAAGATGTTATTAAGGTAAAACAAGGTCATGTTAGTAGGCCCTACTTCAGTATTACTAGGGTCATTATAAAAAGAGTGTAGGAGACAAACGTAAGGGTCACCATGTCCTTACATGGTGAGATGGTAGCCACCTTCAAGCCAGGCAAAGTGCTCAGAGAGAAATCATCTCTGTGGACACCTTGATCTTGGAATTCTACCTTCCAAAACTATGAGAAAATTAATTTTGATTGTTTAAATCACCCAATATTTGGTATTTTTTAATAGCAGTTCTAGCAAATTAACTAAGGGGACATCATAGAAAAGGTGGATATTGAAACCATAATTCTGAAAAATAGAGCCCAGAGTGTGTGTATTTGAGAGCTCCAAGGCATATGAAAAGGGCCCCAAAGAAGAAGCAGGGGAGGGAGCAGCTTCTCTAGAGAAATATTGTCAGCACCCGTTTCACAGTGGGTTGAGGAGAGACTATGAGATAACTAAACAGAGAATTACGACTGCAACCAAACATTTTGAGAAGGTAGGATGT